CTCTTACGGCCCCCCTAGCCCAATGCCGTCCTCCCCTGCGGCCCCCTAGCCTAACGCCGTCCTCCCCTGCGGCCCCCCAGCCCAACGCCGTCCTCCCCTGCGGCCCCCCTAGCCTAACACCGTCCTCCCCTGTGGCCCCCTAGTCTAACGCCGTCCTCCCCTGCTGCCCCCTAGCCTAACGCCGTCCTCCCCTGCGGCCCCGCCTAGCCTAATGCCGTCCTCCCCTGCGGCCCCGCCTAGCCTAACGCCATCCTCCCCTGCGGCCCCCCAGCCTAACGCCATCCTCCCCTGCGGCCCCCCTAGCCCAACGCCGTCCTCCCCTGCGGCCCCCTAGCCGTACGCTGACCTGCCCTACGCGGACGCTGCGGGGGGCGGATGAGGGAAGGGCGGCGCTGCGCTGGGCGGCGCAGGGGAGGGTGGTGTTGCGCTGGGCAACGCAGGGGGGGGGCCGGCGATGCGGGGGGCGGATGAGGGAAGGACGGCGCTGCACTGGGCGGTGCAGGGGAGGGCAGCGTTGCGCTGGGCAACGCAGGGGGGGGCCAGCGCTGCGGGGGGCGGATGAGGGAAGGGCGGCGCTGTGCTGGGCGGCGCAGGGGAGGGCGGTGTTGCGCTGGGCAACGCAGGGGGGGGGCGGTGCTGTGGGGGGCGGATGAGGGAAGGGCGGCGCTGCGCTGGGCGGCGCAGGGGAGGGCGGCGTTGCGCTGGGCAACGCAGGGGGGGGCCGGCGCTGCCGGGGGCGGATGAGGGAAGGGCGGCGCTGCGCTGGGCGGTGCAGGGGAGGGCGGCGTTGTGCTGGGCAACGCAGGGGGGGGGCGGTGCTGCGGGGGGCGGCACAGGGGGGGGCTGTGCTGCGCTTGGCGGGGCGGTGCAGGGCAGTGCTGGCGCGGGATGGGGCGGGAATTGGAACAGGGCAGAGGTGCCACCCACCGTCTTGTGGGTCTGGGTTCAATTCCCAGCTGTCCCTACATGTAATGGCCCATGATACATTCACACATGTGTCCGTGAAGACATGAGCAAGCGGGCAGAGGGCACACACATACAAACACAAAGGACGGAGGGAACGGCAAGGGAGAGCAGAGGGGACAGCAGAGGAGAAGGCACAGAAGGGCAGAAGGGAGGGCAGAGGGGAGGGGAAGGAAGGATGACTTAGGGAGGGCGGAATAAGAGCGAGGAAAGGTGTTGTGGAGGGTGGAGGGAGGGAATTGTGGGGGGAGGGTGAAAGGATGGAAGGGTGGAGGCAACCTAGGCGACACGTTAGTTGGAACGTCACCATGGCCGCAGTCGGGGGATGGCAAAACGAGGGGGGAAAGGGGGAAAACGCGGCGGGATGGGGCGGGAATTGGAACAGGGCAGAGGTGCCACCCACCGTCTTGTGGGTCTGGGTTCAATTCCCAGCTGTCCCTAGATGTAATGGCCCATGATACATTCACACATGTGTCCGTGAAGACATGAGCATGCGGGCAGAGGGCACACACATACAAACACAAAGGACGGAGGGAACGGCAAGGGAGAGCAGAGGGGACAGCAGAGGGGAAGGCACAGGATGGCAGAAGGGAGGGCAGAGGGGAGGGGAAGGGAGGATGATGGGAGGGAGCGTGGAGGGAAGTGGGGGGGATGATGGAGGAAGGGTGGGGGAAGAGTGGGAAATGGTATTGTGGAGGGATTATTGAGGGAGGGTGGAGGGAGGGTTGGAGGGAGGGAGGGTGAAATGATGGAAGGATGGAGATGGAGCGCCATGTCTCCCTTAGTTCACACCCCGAAGGAAAAAACAGCCACACGGCTCTATGGGCCCGGAGGCCCCAGTGTTATTAGCATATGCATCATTCGCGCCCACACGAATCCCCCAGGGTCCCTGTCGTGTTTAAAGCATTTAGCCGGTGGCTCCCCTGTTTGTTGGACTGGACAACTACAGGAAATCCACAAACACAACGTGCAGAGGCACACAAACGCGCGGCATGCTAAAACAGCCATCAAGCTTGTAATCGTCACACCAGAGCCTTCTCCATGTGTTAAGAATTGTATATTCGTTGGCGGCCCGTGGCGTGCAAGCGAGATGTTCTTGTGCGCACGCAGCGACCGCGGGTGCGCATGTGTATGCGTTAGGATTGTATATTCGTTGGCGGCCGGTGGCGTGGAAGCGAGATGTTCTTGTGCGCACGCAGCGACCGCGGGTGCGCATGTGTATGCGTTAGGATTGTATATTCGTTGGCGGCCCGTGGCGTGGAAGCGAGATTTTCTTAAAAACCATGCTCTGTGGCGCTCTGCTTCCCGTATGTTAACTTTCGCACGTGTGGAACGATGCAGAACTATAGGTTTGACGGAGGCGCAAAACAAAGCTTTCGTGCTCAAATGGAGCACGACAATGGACGTTCGGTGACATGTCCACACCACACAAGCACCTCCACAGACTAAAGCGAGCGATGCGAATGTAGACGTGTCAATGTTTTGAGGACATGACCTGGGGTATGGTGCTGCCTCTCCTTTACAAGAGACCGCACAGCCACGGGCGGCTAATGTCCGGACACACCATCGAACAACATCCGCCTGGCAAACTGTGTTTCATCAAGCAGCACTGCATATGAGGTGCGAAATGCTCAATATATACTTGATTACAGCATCTTTAATGTCCAAAAAGCCGTCGGCAATGACAACAACACTCAGAGCGGCACTGACAACGGCTCATGCAACGGCTCGTACAACGATTCTAACCACCAGCGAACAAACTGCGACGCGACCAGAGACATCATCTCACACATAGATATAAAATCATGAATAATGGAAACAAACAAGCTTGCCCCTGCTCTGCTTCGCATCCCGCGCTCCCACCTCGTCAGTCCAATCATGGGCTGCAAATCCCAACGCAGCACGACGTCGCCATGACAAGCGTTAATTTGATACATACTGAGTCAACACACATGTGCGCGGCGAGAAGAAATCTATAGCGTAAAAAGGTGTGTATTGCTCCGTGTGCACATGCGAGCTCCGCACCGCACCCATACAAGTATCTCGTGCAATCCCCCAACCGCCGTATCGACAAATCCAGGCTACAAACCCTCAAAACAAAGCAAGCACTCAGGCCCTGCAATATTTTGCTTGCGTTACACAGCATTATTCTACCTGGTACAGGCCTCCTGTATAACATAACAACATCCCCCAGCCCCCCTTTCCCCCCTTTTGGCAGATGGACTGCATCAGCAGCAAACCCGCACTGGGTGGCCGTCTCGTTGGCAGCGAAAGGAGCGAGAGGATGTGCGAGGTAAGGGGCCGCGCTAGAAAACCCTACCCTGCGCCCCCCCAAGCCCAACGCCGCCCTCCCCTGCGGCCCCCTAGCCGTACGCTGACCTGCCCTACGCGGATGCTGCGGGGGGCGGATGAGGGAAGGGCGGCGCTGCGCTGGGCGGCGCAGGGGAGGGCGGCGTTGCGCTGGGCAACGCAGGGGGGGGCCGGCGCTGCCGGGGGTGGATGAGGGAAGGGCGGCGCTGCACTGGGCGGCACAGGGGAGGGCGGCGTTGCGCTGGGCAACGCA